GTCGGGCGAACTCAGCATGACTGCTTCCATAAATATGGGAATGCTAGTCGCCTGAAGGAATCGCCATACGTCCTATCGTAGGGGACAGAACGAATTTCCCCCGAGAAGCCCCCTGAAAACTTTTGGCCGCCAACAGTTCGCTTCCCAGACACGATTGTATCTTGAGAAACCACGTTCCAGCCAGTTTACGCGGCGAAATCATTGCAACATCACCACGTCAAGGTAGAAGTTACTGGTCGGACACGAGTAAGACTTACCGGCGAATAAAGTTATCATTGAAAAAAGTCAGCATTATTGAGTGAATTCTGCCAGTGAATCCGCACTGATGACTTACTTATATAATGTTCCGTAATGTTATCTGTATTTCGTCCAAGGACAGCCTGTCGTCTCTGGATAACTGCCAGTTTTTCCCGAATCTTCGCCAGCGATAACTCCTCTCTTGCAAGTTGCTCACTAATGTCTGTCATGAGCTTCCGGTTGATAAGGTATGCACCACTGAACGAGAAATGAGACAAGACAAGTCAGTGAATAGCTAACCAACACGGAACACGTGGTGGTCTTTCTGAACAACATTTACAACTGGTTGTTGCCAATCTTCTCACCCTTCCCTACCCGAACCAAAAAAGAAGCACAACTAGCCAACAAAACTCGAAAAGTCGGATTGTAAAGTAGTACAAGCTGAGCATAGATTGATCGAATCAAAGACATAACTATCAAAAATAGAAACCGGTGCCTTAACCAAACGAACTCGAGAAAAGCGGACCGCAAAGCAACAAAAATATTGGAAAATGACTGTTCGGATAGAAGAAAAGGTCAGAGAAAAAACTAAAAAACCAACCGAATGCAAAAATTATGGACCACGACGCAATACAGATCCAAACAGACCGACAGCATTGTGAGAAAGGTGAACTTCAATTAGCCAATCACATTACATAGATGCGGCATGTGGACTTTTCAACAGTGGACCGATCAAATCCTGTCGATTGGTGACGAAACCTTCGCAAACTAACTGACAAGCTTGGCGGACTGAATAACGACCACCTGATCAACAACCAGTAAACACATCCAAATTAAAGATATCCGGATAAGTTTTCATTGGTTACAACTTACCGAGAAGCGAATTGACTCTGAACGTTAAGATCGAATACGACGTGACTGAAGCTTTGTGTCATGAAGACTTTGCGTTGGAACAGGATAAAAATGAAGCAGATCACATCCCAATGCAGTCCACTGGATACTGTTTCGCACTGCTTGTCATAAACTGACAAGGGGACGAATGTAAAAGGGAAACGGTGAAGTCAGGATTGCACGCTACCGTGATGAAATCGATAGCATTTAGAAGAGGGTTAGGGGCAACGTAACGCACACCACGGCATGAATAAGGTAATCATAGGCTGCCTATTCTATCAAACAGGTTCGGTGCCGTTATATGCAAATGGATGGTCGTGTGCTACACGACTTATGTTGGCTGACAGTTAGCTAGGGTGTATTGCAGACGTTGTTCTGCAGTTCTAATAAGCCAATGAATATGGGTGACAAGAATCAACAGGATTAAGTGGATCGCCTTAATGGTAGAACGGAACAGGTGCATGCACTCATAGGCAGTAAAATACCTAGGCGGGAGGCGCGAGAATAGCCACAACTAACGAATCACCGTAGGTTACATAATACCAATGATTTACCAGTAGATACACGCTAGATACGCTGCCACAACATTGGGGAAAACGGGGATATCCGTCAGTAATCTGCTTTAATTATATTAAGGCAAAACAAGCAACATGGATTCTTCTTCGAGTGCACATTAGATAGATGTATTGCAAATCCGTTTAATTTGCGTGACCGATAACTGATTAAAAAACCAAACAAGTGTAGAAGCGCGCGGGCACTACAGAGGACAATTCCGGGCCGGTCCGAGATAGAATGTCCTATATCTCTATTACAAGTCTCAACAGTGCGCTCAGAGGGGGACCTAGACGCTCAGAAACAGGGATTAGTGGGGTTTGGGATGGTGCGACATACGCGTGATACCAGTTCCGGCTGCTCTATCTTAGTGTGGGCAGTCTGATAGCGTTCTGTATTTCGCGTGTCCCCTGGGTCACAGCAACGCGAGCGATACAGTTGAACAGTGAACTGTCTAGGCAACAATGTATCAGCCTTCCACGGAGCTACTTCCGTACTTGATTGACTGCATGTTACCACTCAATCAAACGCCTCATTATTCGAGGTAAAAGTGTTCCTGTGCCATTAAGAAGCAGACAAACAGTCAAACAGTGACGACCGTTTTCTAAAAGTAGATTATCAACACATAGAGTAGAACACAATAAATCACCAGGGTGATTTTCAGTACCGAATTCTCATCGCTAGGGAGTAGCCAACTGTAGCTTGGTCATCTATAAAAACAAGATAACCAGTCAGCTGTAAAACCCTTTCGGTGCCTAGCTGTCATGCCACGCGAAAGAAGCACGAGGGCTGGGATACTGCCAGGTTGCCCAAGCCTAGACAGGAGAAGTCGAGTGGTCGGGTTCGAACCACGGACCTCCCGGTCAGTAAATTCGCGCTTTCACCACTTGAGCCATCTCGCCCCCTGGCCATCTGCACAATATGAAATAAGCTAACCCAATCCAGTCCTCAATCGAGATAAGGAGGCTAGATCTCTGTATACAGCACTTTAGATGGTTCATCTCACTGTATAACACGATTAGAAGGAATGAATGATTGTAACGTACCCGGCGGCTCGAATCGTGACCAAGACATGGGATCCATACACTGGACACCGAAGAGCTGTATGAACCAACACTGATGAGACATGCGAGCCCAGTACACGCAACCAACGACTTGTAGGCTACACTTGGCCAAAATCACACAAAAATTGTAGCCGATAATAACGTTCCAGCTAGGAATAAAGAAAACAGAGAATGTTCACCTACCAGTTTGAAATTCCTTAAAACGTGGTCGATTACAGCAACACCGGCGATTCGCTAATGTCAAACCAACTAAACTAAAATAAGGCAAACGAAAAGATAGAAGGGAAGAAGCTAATTGGTACAACAAGGCACAGACATCTGCAAGCACTCACTCAGATACAAGAAGAACCAGCAAAATAAACCCGTTATCGGTTTACAGACATACGATGTATCGCTTACAGCGGTACATGAAAGGCGAACAGCGCCGACACCTATCTTGGCTCCCTTTTTAGCATTTTGTCACGTCATGCGTGACGCGGTAAACGACGCGCATGTTGTTATAAGTAGCTCAGGATCGACTAACCGAAAAATGTTGTTGGATAGGCCTCTGGAGGGACGGACTTTCGCTAAAAATTCGCTGGTGCTAGGAACAGAGAGATATAGTTCTGAAGCTCCAGTATTGAAGACTTGAAGATGCCACTAATCTTCCATTCACACAAAACCAAGCTTATCAAATGAGTAAACAAACCTTCAGTGTCCGGTTTTCCGTTGTTTTTTAACATCATAGGTAGCGAAAACTAGTAAATGCAACACAAATAGGGGCTGATGATGAATGGTTTAAAAGGGATTAATAAGATAGTTTTAGACCAGGTTACCACTGGCGCCTTGGTTAGTTTCGATGACTGTAAAGGGTGAGTTACTGGAAAATTTGACCCACAAAAGTTGTCCATGTGGTGTTCTGTAAAAAAACCAGAGAATCAGAATACGGACATCCAAAATATGATTTCATAATTAATGATTATCGAGGACACGGAAACATATAGGCTCCGACACGGAAGGATAACTGCAATGTGGTGCTACTAAACACAAAGCTAAAAAGAAAAAAATTAAACGGGTGCTTGAGGGACCAACCCACTGGGCAGGCATTTTTGGATGGCGCTCTGAAAAGTGTTTAACGATTTCGACCCAGAAAAAAAAACAACTTTCCGACGGCCCTTGCAATGAATTTCCCAATGAACTTTAGTGGTATCACTATGGATGACCAATCCGATAGAGGTAGGATAACGACAAGAATTCAACAAAAGTATTGATCACAACAGAGCGGGAAAGAAGTTGAAACGTTGTGAATTACTGACCACAGAAGTATCAGAGAATGTGATTCAAAGTAAAAGGGACAGAAAACAAGACAGAGTGAGAAAATGAACGTGTTGAGATAACTAACTTAGCATATTTACAGTGCAGTAGCTATGATACAAAAAGTAATTCAGAAACGCTTAAAATCGCATTGGTATGATTGAAAAACTTACGACTTGATCAGGCTGCTTCGTTTGCGCAGCATCACATTCTGGCCCATCCATAGGTAGATAAAACTTAGTATCATGTAGCCCAAACAGAACAGTGTGATCCAAGTGACGCCCGTCGCGAGGACAATGGCAAGGCTCACCCAGTAGGACCAATAAAAGATTAGATGACGCAGATAATCCAGATAAGATCTATGGGTAAGGACAAAAAAATAAATGTGACAAGTGCCAGAAAATTTAAACGTTAAAAAGGCCAAAATTCACTGCAGAATTATGAGATGAAACGCAATCACAGGAAAAGAAATACGGAACTGACGCTGAATCGCGTAGGCGAGCTCCAGCGTCAACACCGAGCTCAGTTTTTGCCCAACGCAGTTAGGATTTAAACCGAAGGAAGGACAAAAGGATTCTGGTCCGCGAGCTGTTCGCTCTGAAAAGTAGTCGTGATTTGCGTCGGTGTAAAGTCACGAAACCGAGCAAGCGGACGTTAGGAGAGCAAGAAAAAAATTCGAAACTTCCGGAACAGCACAGATGGAACTTACTCTTTCGCACTCACGAAATCCCGTTCATCTTTAGCTGGGACGTTGTTAATGAGCACCGGTTTGTTGGAACCACCACCATACTCCTTCACACTGAAGCGTTTCTCGATTTTGAAAACCTGGTACTGCAGAGCCACAGCGACAAATTGGAAGAAATCCGCTGAGAACACGGAAGGAAACACGGATAACGGCAGGGAGTTTATTCAACAGTAAACATCATCCTGGTTCAACCGTGTAATGGGGCGAGGGTGAAGCTTGAAACGGCTCGACGGTGTCAACAACCTATAGGCTTCCATGTGTTCCAAAATGAGTGTGAAGTGAAGTCATCGACCAGATCTCCTCTCTACCCCAGATAAGTTTGAGCCAACGCCTTCTAATTACACCCTTAATTTGGTTTTCACAGATTACCAGTGCTTGGCAATTAGATCCCCAATAAATAAACTGCCAAAAATCAATTCAATACAGTAGTACGTCTACCAAATTTGTTCCTCACCAGTAAGGACCTCCCTCAAAGGAAGTATTTTGCACCGGTCACATAAATTTTACCGTTGGACAGATGAGCAAAACGCCCAACTTTCTAAAATGGGTCGGTCTTGGCCCCACCACACCTCAACAGGGATCTAATCTTTCCGAAAGTCAGAGAACACTAACACTGTCTGGCATGAAGCTGTAGATCACCATCATGCTCAGATGCCCGGTTAAGCATTACTATTGGCTCCTTGCAGTGCGCATTGCTGATACCACACCTAGTGAATTTGACAAATAAACCTTCCGTAAAAGAGACAGGCCCCATGAAATGAGTGGAGTATGGAAAATAAGAGAATGTGCCAAGAAGCGTGAGCTCAACGGTGGTTTTTCTATTCCCTCTGGGAAGCACTACACATACTTAAAGGCTTTGTAAGCTCAAACATGTGATGAGTCTTTGGTTGTGCGGCTGAGAGCCTAACTGGGTAGATCGAGTCCTTGGGCAATGAAAAATAACATGTTCCTGTCCTCGAAAATGAAATAAGGGCCCTCTAGCACAGTGAAGAAAATAATAGGGGATAGTGCTCAGCTAACGCACTGCGGTTAGCGATCATAACTGTAAAGGTTACAATGTCAGTGAAAATTAACGAAGCCACAGGATTTTTCAATCTTTCTTGGAAAAACACTATGATATGTCGAAGAGTTTTCAGCAACCTTGTGAGTAGTTTCCTTTATGAAAATACACTATGATATAGATTTAACTCCATTTCAATCCTCGACTGTGTATTTTATCGGTACACTAACATTCTCTTCGCGTGCAATATGAGGTGACGGTGAACTGAGTTCGACTAAACGGGTGACAGTTCACTAATATGTTAACGTTCGTTCACCATGGAATTCATGTTTACAAATAGTTTATCACACACTGATTTTTGCGCATGTCTGATTTCGGGGTCACGGTAAAAGCCGCGGAGTACCTACGAACGGATGAGCCGCTCGGCTCTTCAGTAGCATCCCATGGTTATTGCCTCTTGTACGACATTTATACTTAAAATGAGAACAAGACCGAGGAAGACTAAATATAAACAAACGAAATCTCTGGAAAACTGGATACTTGACCTTCGTTTCGTCTGATTCTCACGATTCCCCTAGATAAGGACCCTCCCCTCGGGAGGAACTATTTCGACCAGCTGCCACTGGTAATACCGTAGGAACAAAGACCTTTTTAAAACATAGGTCCATTTGGCTATCTGTGACGATAATGATTGCAGAAACCAACGGTGAGTCATCCGGATAGTGCTCGAGATTGATTCTCAACGTCACTTGCGTGACTAACACAAAAGCTAGACGGAAGGGTCCAGTTTCCGGATCACAAAAGCATCGTCAAACTAGGAATCAACACCATCGCGGCTTCATGTTGAGAATGTGAGTAAAGCCATGCACTAAATGCGGTACCTAGTCATTTCGGAGTCTAAAACGGTACCAGCCGAGGAAACGTAATAATAGAACCTCTTGGACTGGGACTGGGGATGGCGGAGGAAAGCTGTGCATTAGAAGCAACGGCCCAGACGCATCAACATTGACAATTGGACGCGCGACAGGCCCATATATTTTACTGACGACGATTGGCACAGCCCAACTCGGACTCCAAGCCCCGAAAACTCACCTGCCAACAGCTGTTTGCTGCTAATGGTCTTTGTGACTCTCTGCTCAGTCGCTACCCGATACTCACTTCCAACACATTGTTGTGCGAACAGGGTCTAAACTATTCCAAAAGAAACATTTACGCATTTCAGTTTACGGATAGGCGGTGGAAGTTGACCAAGCCAACTCCAAACATACGTGAAAATAATGCTCAACAAGCACCTTTTTAGCACTCACCAGTAAGCTTTTTTGCAGTGGGGGACCCGTACTGACCCGGAACAAACAACCATTGGAGAAGATTGTTTATGTCAACAGAGTCAGTCAGCCACGGATAACCTACGAAAAGGATGAAAGTAAAAAGTTGCCAGCGGGTAGGTAAATGAAGGAACAGTATTATCAATAAAAATAAAACGACACAATTGCCTTACTCCAACAGATTCCTGGAGGAAACCCAACACATCCTGCGTATTGAACCGGAATGAGTGCGGCGAGGAAAATCATATATGGTAACCAAAGTTTGCCACAAACTTGGCGTGGGGTGAACAGAAAGAATAGCATCAGGAGTAGATATAGCACACTGAAAGCATCCGCACGGAGACAGGCTGTGACCACAGTCACGCAGAAGCAGAGCTGTCAATGAGCAGAAAGGAATGACAGAACGAGTGGATCAACAGGGCATGCAAATCCTGCTAAAACTAAGAAAAAGGTTTGTCCCTGAGGGAAATGGCAGAACGTCTCATTAATCAGTCTTCTTCCAACCAAACAAGGAGTTACTGAGAAAACCACTCTTGCTAATCAACAAGCCTACTCAATAACATACTAGCTCCAACATTAAACTTGGTTCAATTTATCGCACGAGAACATAGGTTGGGATGAGCTTGTGCGTGAACAGTTGCGATCACCTTCCAAATAAAAATTCCCATAGAAATCAATCCTGCTGCACAAATTGCCCTGGGAACCTGGCTGTGTTGTTCAAAGTCACTGTTTGGGCCATCAAAAATGGGCACCTTCACGAACTGATCCATCGACCAGTAGGTATGCACAATTATCTAGGAACATGTAACAGTGTGTTCAGGAGAATGAACTTATATGAACCACACTAACCTCAACGGCAAGAACATTTACGACTTCCGGAATCAGTGAGCGCAAAACATAGCTTACTGATCTGACTTGAAGGAGCTGGAAATCTGACAGAGAGCACGATTATTACATGGGCTTGAATGCGACAAAACCACTATATTCCGCCCTAAAACGCACTTAGATGTGGGTTACAGAGGCAACGAGAAACCGCATTAGATCACCGATCCTCTAATACAGTACCTAATGGCGAGAAAAGTTACAGGTTTCAAGAAATGGACACTCGTATAAATGAGACTTGTCAGTGAATCGAGAGGCAAGTGCCATCCCTGCGTCGGGCGCAAGAAAGTGCTGATTACAAATCAATCAAGTGTTCACAGCAAAACATAATCACCTTGTTAAATATAAAAACGGGGCATTAGGTTGCTCAGCTAACCTGCAAAGCGCGGTTCGCATAACAGTGACCAGTATACACTATATTGCACCTGCGTGTGTGACAGCATCATCCTCTGAACTGTCAGATTGACTAATCACAACCAATAACCCGAGAACCAAATAATCAACAAATGAGGTATAAACTGGCACAAAAGGTACCTCGAGGCCGAACTTGTAGAAGCCGTAATTGATGGCAAACTTCACGACATTGCGAAGATCGTTATCCAGTGATGCTATAGTGACATCGGGAAAAACTACGCCTTCGTGAGGACGCAGATTATGCGGGCTGTTGTAGAACTGCTTCTGACGATAAGAGATGGCGTGCCAAAAAACACAAACGAACATCAATGCGCCCATAGGCTGGAACAGAAAACGACATGAAAATTCATACGAACTTGATTATGTGAAAATTTGATTTTACTTAGTCAACTGTATATGCTCAAGAGTGCGCTATTAAGTAGAACAGTAGTGACTGCGAAGATCCGTAAAAAAGGGTTTGACATGGGGACAGTAACGCGACGACCACGCAGGTGGATGGAATAAAAGTCGAAACAGAAGAAAATTTGCAGGGTAAACGCGTCGGTGAGACGAATGAAGAAGCTGGAGATGAATACCTGCTATGATGTGCTTTAAAGAAGGAACATTCTATTAACAAAGCCGGAAGCGATCCCTAAAGATTCGTAATCCCCGTGTGAAAACTGCGCCAATGCCGGAACATTTTGAGTTGCATAAAAGATGGGAATCCTCTTATCACAAGAGGCCGTATCGGTTCAGTGTCAACATTTGGAATCAGTGCAACGCCTACGTTTGTATGCTACACAATTAGCAATGTGCCAAATTGTTGGTAGTGCGGATGCGTTAATTGGTTGTTAATAGGAGTAGTTGATCTGTTCGCTGAACTCAACAGCTATCTTCCAAACGTCTGGTCGCCATACAAGGAAATACTGTCAGTGCATGGCTGGGTGGGCATTTTCCGAATGTCTATTTGGATTTATATAGTTACAGTGTATTTGGGGCTCTCCGTTCACATTTTTGGACCGCTATTGTGGCAAACGCAATTAGTGTTGAGCTACCGGACAGCCTGAAGCTCCAAACAGGTCATTGGGAAGGAATGAAAACTGAGAGCTATTCGAACTATGCCTGAACACATTGAATCGAACAAAGAGAATCACCAGTGGGGTGGCCAATTCAAGGGTTCATTGCAGAGATTTCTATGCAAAAGGTAGAACGGACTGTGCTTTTTGACACAAATCCGAGAATATGGATCTGTTACGTGAATGGCACCATTGTCATCGTACAAAAAAAAACAGGGGATTGCAGCAAAAAATGCAGTCATTAAACAGCTTCTTCGACGACATCAAATCCACAATAGAGGAAAATGACTGAAAGCTGGCATCCTTGGACGTCATCATCACCGGGCTACCAAACGGACACATGCAATTGGGGTCTAGGAGATACGGACTCACACAGACTGAATTCCGAAACACCATTGCAACCAGCCAAGTTACCACAAACAAAGCTGGATCGAAGCACTGTTCACGCGGACTGGAACTCACCGCAACACAACGTAAGACAATACAAAGAATGAGATGCATAAACAAGGTTCTCCCAAGGAAGAAGCCATACCTTATATCAAGAAGACTTCTGAAATGACTGCAAGAAGTTTACGATAGTGTGACCTAACAATAGCCAACAAGCCCACAAACACCTCGGAGGACATACCGAAGTATAAATTTGGAAGCATGAGGAAGACCGACAACTGAAACAAAAACGAATGATTACAACAAAAACTAGGTGGGACAAGCAAGAAGAAATGCACTTAACATACTGTACAAACGCCAATTTGCCACTGGGAGACACAATCAGGCTTCACTCATCTCCGTACATAGACACCACGAAGCACACGAATTTAACTGGAACAGAATCATATACTGGACCAAGCAAGAACAAATAAGGGAAGTGAACTTATAGAGGTACGGTAATCAAACCAGAAAACCGTCAACAAACACTGGCATCTACCCGATCTATCGAATTCTGATGATAAAAGTAATCCCGGACCACCAACCTCAAGACCACGCAACAAACCGGAGAAGAAAACAAGAAAAAGTACATAGAAAAAGAACGGGTAAAACCACAAGCAGAACATGGATCAACAAATCAAAAGGCGAAAATGGGGATGAAATTACATAAGATCGATGAGAATCCCAAAAACAGCATATGCACTGCAACAGAACTTGAGAATGGACCATTCAAATCAAGGAAGGAAAATCGCTATAAAAAAAACAGGCACTCAGCCAATCAGTCAAATGGTCGGAAGATGGGTCAAAAGATGAGGTGAAATAAGCGCAAACCAGCCATTTGGGAAAAAGGAAGAGAGCTATCAAAATGAAGACATCCAAAGAACCATCAGAATGTGAGTAAATAGGACTACAAGGCAACACGTATCCAAAATGGGTCAATCAAATTAAATACAAGCGGAAATTCTAACAACCAACAACGTTACAGACTTCAAATACGATTTAGCAACTAGTTAAATGCAGGTAGACATGGAGAAAACACCTATCCTACCGTGCACTGACAATGTCTCCTCGATTTGTGACGGGAAGTGTGCAAGCTACCTGCCAAGCTCGGCGGACGGACCAACTGCCACCCGACCAACAATCAACAGCTCAGAACTCCACCAATACAGTCATTTTCACGAGGAATTCCAAAGAATCTCTAGTTTATGATATTCTCCAATTGACTGTGCTGCACAAAGGCCATCTAATGTTTCGGATGGTATGATATTCGAGATGTCACAGTATATTTTCATAAAGGAAATTACTCACAATGTTGACGAAAACTCTCCGACAGCCCACGACCGGCTTCAGCTGGTGAGATTCGGTTGAACCGAAAACCCAGTTGATATGCAAATGAGTGTATTCGTCGGAATTTGTCCAATTTGGATTCAAGTAGGACATGAGGTTGACGGAAACTCGGGGATTGCGCCCAACTGATGAGCCCTAAGAAGGGCGAAACTGGTCGTGGGTTGTCAAAGAGTGTTCAGTAACCTTGTGAGTAGTTTCCTTAACGAAAACTCAAAACTCTTCTCGTGGCAGCTTGAAATGCCTATCCGGCTATTCTCTAAATCTCATTAGGACGTTTCAGCGAGGGAAGAGGGAAGCAAAGTAAAGTTCATTGGGATCAAACCCAAGTGGAGCTTCTAGCCAGGACTCAACAGCTTTTATGCGTGAACAGCAGACCGATTGGAATCATGTCCACCATGATAAGACTGAAAAACGCACTCGAAAAGTTACGTAGTCATATTTGTTTAATACATCTTTATACATCTAAAATAGTTCCTGCAACATGTAGAGACAAGTCAAAAGGCAAGGAGCAATTAAGCGCCTGCGATACGACGGATCAGGTTCTTTGAAATATGAACAAATATAGTATCCAAAAGGTCTATCCTTCTTCTCTACTTTGAAGCAGTCATGCATAAAGTAGCTTCATTGACGAAACGGATAAGTACATATAATAAAAGGGTCGAATTTTGAACATGAATCTCTAGTCCAGAGTGAAAATTAGTGGTAAAAAACATTTAATGTCAGCGGAGATAGAAGCCGGACATTAACATGCTAAAAGATGTGGACAGAAAGCTGGTAGATCAACGGTAGAAAACTTACCAAGATGTAATGGTTGAAGTTCTGAACTTTTATTAACCCGGCCCAGGAGGCATTTTCCAAATGTGTGGTCTTATTGGACTGTAATGGAAAAGAAAACGTGGTGATAAAGAACCGTTCATATGCGTAGGCATTCTAAAGTCTCGTCATTTCTTATTTAGTAGCAAATTTAGGACGGCTGGTTTCTAAAAGCGGGTGAGCCCGGTGCGGGCCCAAATACTATTGGGCCTTTGACCACATGTCCACAGAGCGGTAAGAGGAATGCGAGACTATCGGTGTCAAGGACTGAATATACCCCTAATTTGCTGCCTTCCGAAGCACAGCATGATGTCTTACCTATATGAGTCGTGTAATGTGAGAAGCGAAAAACAGATGAACTCCGCGTAAAAGCACAGCTAAGGAATTTCTCCCCACGCGGCACACCACAATAGTAATTGTCATGCCATATAGTGAACAGTCACCCAAATATACACCCATCAGGCAATAGAAAGGACGCAACATATTCCAGGGGATGACGGATAACAAAGCATAATTTCACCGGTTATTGAGCAGGTCATTGATGAGCTTGGAGAAATGCAAGCACCAAGTGGGTATAAAACTGCCAACAGTCGACAAAAACTGCTCGACATCACATCAACAGTCTAGTAGTAATAGAAAACGAGCGAGGCCTCACTATCCTGGGGAAATGCAGACAGTAAACCTATCCAGCAGGACGCCAGCAATTGACAAATTGAATACTCGACTGTGGCGCAAGCTCGGTACATAGGTACAATGCACCAAAATGAAAAAAGATGGAACCGGAAAGGAACTGGGACGTCAGAGGCGAAGGAAAAGCCAGCGCTCCACGTCCACACATATTTCTGAACCAGTTTAAGACCCTTCTAATGAAGATAAGTGGGGTAAGTAAAAGAAGCGCAAAAACTTACATCAGCACACACGACGGTAACGTTGAGCTGCACAAAATTCAGCTGAAAGCACATTTTGCACAGCGTAAGCAGTCCAGTCCACACGAAGACAATCGTGGCGAGAAACCCATGCAAGTAGGGGAATGGGAAGCAAATCACTAGCAGCACAAGAGTGATTATGTTTGGGGCAACGACCTGTAAACGAAAAAAAGAATCACAAGAACAGATGAGCAGTTGATACGACTTATTGAAAATTTTCACCACATGCTCGAAGCAAACGGCCATAAAACAATCTGTCACAGGTGAATCAGTTCACGGAATCTAGGCCAATCTAGACCGATTCATCACTGCATCGCAATCATTTTCCAGACGTGTGGAACAATGAGGTCTCCCGTTTCTGCACTCCAGTACCCAGATACTCTGGGTATCTGTCCAATGAACCGAAGGCTGGGATCAGTTTAGCAAATTTTCCATCCTAATTTGTCAAAAAAAATAATATCGAGAGAGGTGAACCGCGGCATCTGGTCCACTGAGCTGAACAGTTGCCTTTGCCTCAGACAATACGGCAGCTTCCCAACGGACAGCTTAATTATTGTATATGGTTCTCGTGTTTGAGATTCAGAAATGCAGCTAATGTCTATCGATAAAGTTTCAAAATTATCACTAACGCAGATTGTTGATCAGCTCATTCAAGGGTTTGAACACTGAAAGCCGCAATGAAAACTGGGCGTGAAGTTGAAGCAACAGATATGAGCGTCGATCGACCACCAAATTCAACCAATCTAGGTCCATCCGCTTTGCTTGATAGTTGGGTTAGTCAGGGCTTCCACACTTCGATTATCAGTTCGAACTGTTGCTTGTACGACCGAGAAATACAGTCAAAGTTAATGGTCAAAGACAGAGTGGAAAAAATACCTCGTGCTTTACAAAATGTTGTTGTAGTTTTCCGCTAATGCATGAAAATCCATAGCTAGGCGACAAGGCGAGAAACCGCAGAATCATCTGAGTCGGGATGGTGTAAATAGGGATGCCGGACGTGGTTTAGTGTGCAATGAACGTATTTTACCATTACATAACATATTGCATAACATGAGAAAAGGGCAACGGGCCCTCAGACGAGAGATCCCATTAGACACGTGCCCAAATAGCGGCTGGATTCCCCGCACGAAGGTTGAACCAAACTCCACCGGTAAAGCGGTGATTAACGACCTGAGTGATGTTTGCTAAATTCCAAACCAATCGCACAGTAACGAAAAGCGGTCCCCTTCTAAGTGAACCGAGGTCCAGTCAGGGTTAGGCCATTGACTAGCCACAAAACAAAAGCTGGAAAAAGATTGAACAACCAAACTAACATGTGCGGTAACATATTCCTGACAATCTTATACCGTGCCGTTAGGCTTTCGAGCCAAAAGCTTACACTAGCCGTCCTCATGTCTGGGCCTGGATGTTTTGGTGTAACAGTGATACTACAGATCGGGAGGCATGCGAGTAGCATGTTTTCTTGTAAATTCGCTTGAAAAGGGAGATCTATTGAGGATTTGTGGACCCGTTTTGTAGCATTTGCTTGGACTTGAGCAACACTCACTGAATTTCCAAGAAAGTTCAGGAAGACGCATTCAAGAGAAGATGGATGTTCAGTTTTTTGTAATTAAGATGCATATGAGAGTTTTGCTTTCGTGTCCAATAGTCTGTAACTGGTCAGTTGGCATTTTCTAATAAGTAACTCCGCAACGAAGGCCTTATTCCTTTCAGTGGTAGTATCCTAGCCCATGTAAAATCACGACTAATACATCCACCGTCGCGAGGTGATATCAGTCGGGTCGCATTAGTTGCTGAGTATAAGGCGGGTTGGCGAAAACAGACCAGTGCTGACACCTTCATCATTCCGCTTTCAGGTAATTGTTCTTCTCCCCGACCCTAGCAGACTACTAAACAGTTGCCGTTGACTTCTTCGTAGGTCTATTCTTAAGAATCGATAGATCAGCCCACAGACTACTGTTATTAGCTGTGAATCCTACGGTTAACTTCGACGATCTGTTCATCTGAAAGTTTCCAAAGTTCTCAGATTTCTCTTGTATGTATGTCGGACGGGTTTTCCATTGTTGTGTGTTGTCTCTCTGAAACGATGATTCAAGGCTGTTGTTGGACCGACCACCCGATCAGTATGTTGTCGCTTCCTACTGCGCATCTCTGATGATCCAAAGCCGTTCCAGTTGGTCCTACCGAATTCGGTATCTTCCAAGCCGCCGAGCTGAATGGTCTCCCGTTGAATGGCCGCCGCTGATAGTCGCTTGTGTGTGACGCGTTTGGCAACGTCTGTCAGCGTATTCTGTAAACAAGCTGATAATCGCTGCGCTTTTATTATGTCCTCTTAGGCTCCGACAGATTGTGGGCAATATTCGTATTTGAATATCCCTGAGAGAATTCAAGTAGACACTGGAAATTGTGGTAGTTGCCTTAGCTCTGACGTTACTGTGATCGACGAATTCAATGTCAGAAATGTGTTTGCCAATCAGCGCCACTTGTGATCTGGCCGTATTGTTGTACGGCTACGAAAGTTGGCCAACTCGGGTGAAGAATCTGGGACATCTTCAGGTCTCTGAAGAACGATGCTTCATAACTACAACTGGAATCGGCTGGAAGCAACGTATCCACAATGAGTTGATCGCGAAGAGGGTCTTTTGTGAAAAAGACGATGACTCGTTCAAAGAAAACATTCAGCACTGCAGACTAAATTGGCTCGGCCATGAGTTACTCATGCCGAGTTACCAAGACAAGTGACGAAAACCTAGAGTTCAACAGAATTTCACATAGCAGAAGAGAATAAAGAATGTTACGAAAAGTGTGGGTGCTGCCGGTGCTATTCACCTTCCATTATGGGGTCCCTGTGTTTCGCTGTAGGCAGTGAACAACATGATGTCACAGATGATAATGCCGTCGGTTTCCAACCAGATTATCTTATGTGTTGGAGATGTAGGTAACTCGGATATCTCAGGTAGGCTGGTCCTAGGTCGTTTTGTAGCATTTGCTTGGACTTGAGCAACACTCACTGAATTTCCAAGAAAGTTCAGGAAGACGCATTCAAGAGAAGATGGATGTTCAGTTTTTTGTAATTAAGATGCATATGAGAGTTTTGCTTTCGTGTCCAATAGTCTGTAACTGGTCAGTTGGCATTTTCTAATAAGTAACTCCGCAACGAAGGCCTTATTCCTTTCAGTGGTAGTATCCTAGCCCATGTAAAATCACGACTAATACATCCACCGTCGCGAGGTGATATCAGTCGGGTCGCATTAGTTGCTGAGTATAAGGCGGGTTGGCGAAAACAGACCAGTGCTGACACCTTCATCATTCCGCTTTCAGGTAATTGTTCTTCTCCCCGACCCTAGCAGACTACTAAACAGTTGCCGTTGACTTCTTCGTAGGTCTATTCTTAAGAATCGATAGATCAGCCCACAGACTACTGTTATTAGCTGTGAATCCTACGGTTAACTTCGACGATCTGTTCATCTGAAAGTTTCCAAAGTTCTCAGATTTCTCTTGTATGTATGTCGGACGGGTTTTCCATTGTTGTGTGTTGTCTCTCTGAAACGATGATTCAAGGCTGTTGTTGGACCGACCACCCGATCAGTATGTTGTCGCTTCCTACTGCGCATCTCTGATGATCCAAAGCCGTTCCAGTTGGTCCTACCGAATTCGGTATCTTCCAAGCCGCCGAGCTGAATGGTCTCCCGTTGAATGGCCGCCGCTGATAGTCGCTTGTGTGTGACGCGTTTGGCAACGTCTGTCAGCGTATTCTGTAAACAAGCTGATAATCGCTGCGCTTTTATTATGTCCTCTTAGGCTCCGACAGATTGTGGGCAATATTCGTATTTGAATATCCCTGAGAGAATTCAAGTAGACACTGGAAATTGTGGTAGTTGCCTTAGCTCTGACGTTACTGTGATCGACGAATTCAATGTCAGAAATGTGTTTGCCAATCAGCGCCACTTGTGATCTGGCCGTATTGTTGTACGGCTACGAAAGTTGGCCAACTCGGGTGAAGAATCTGGGACATCTTCAGGTCTCTGAAGAACGATGCTTCATAACTACAACTGGAATCGGCTGGAAGCAACGTATCCACAATGAGTTGATCGCGAAGAGGGTCTTTTGTGAAAAAGACGATGACTCGTTCAAAGAAAACATTCAGCACTGCAGACTAAATTGGCTCGGCCATGAGTTACTCATGCCGAGTTACCAAGACAAGTGACGAAAACCTAGAGTTCAACAGAATTTCACATAGCAGAAGAGAATAAAGAATGTTACGAAAAGTGTGGGTGCTGCCGGTGCTATTCACCTTCCATTATGGGGTCCCTGTGTTTCGCTGTAGGCAGTGAACAACATGATGTCACAGATGATAATGCCGTCGGTTTCCAACCAGATTATCTTATGTGTTGGAGATGTAGGTAACTCGGATATCTCAGGTAGGCTGGTCCTAGGTCACAACTTTTCCCCTGTATTTTAAGGCTTTATTCAAATAAACTTAAGTGCCTTGACAGCTGTGAAGTACCAGTGTTCTTCGATCTTTCGCAAATCAATTTGATTTCCATCAACCTTATGTTCTATTTGAACCCAAATTGGACTGATTTCGACAGTGTTCTTCTCTACTGTTGCTGTTGTTATCAACGCTGATTATCGTAATGCGATTCAAGCTTTTCAATCGTAGCGGTGAAATCAAAAAGTCACAACATGTTCGTGCATACTCAACCTGCCAATCCATTCCAGATATCCATACCGACCAAATCCAATATGTTTTTCACCCATGAGAATGTACCCTGAACATTGGTTTGGATTACGTAAGCCGAGTGCGCACTCTACAATCTCCATGATCGATATGGTAATGGTCAAAGTTAATTCAAACGCACCGACGCAAAGACTACTGAGTTGCAAGTTACACCAAAGTTGGTCGCGCAATCGCAACCACACAACTGTTCAACGTGCGTAAAGATAACCAACAAAAGTTGCGGTTGAAATAAAATATGGAAATGCGCCAATTGTAGCCAAAACCGATAACGTAACTGAACAGCAATCCAAATCATTCCCCTGGTTACTAAAGCGCAATCCATCGAAAAGAGAGCCAACAAGCACACCAGCCATATTTCATACATTACACTGGTGCGAATGTACCCTGAACACTACAAGATCGGTTGTGCTTAGCTCGCACCCACAAGCGAAGCAAGCAGTTAGCTGTCGTGTGCTTCAAAAAGAGACTCAAGAGCGAAGACCTAGCGAGACATTGATTGACCTCGTCCAGCCACGCTCCTGAAGCAAATATATCGTTTTCCATGCGCAATTGTACCCACTTCAAAAGCGATCATCTCCAAACTGAATCACCCTCACTAGCAACGGTTAAAATGTACAACCTATCTTTTCCAATGCCACTTCCGCCTATGAGTAATGAAGGGAATTATTGAATCTGAAACCACCGTAAACGTCAATGCATTCAAAGAGAATACATTTTCGGGGCATTACAAATGGCACATCCAGCACCGAGTACTGGGAGTAGTTTTCTCAACATATTCAATCATCCTGATCATTTTCAAGTGAAATTAGCTGAAAACTCACTTCATTCACGGCGTTCAGTAAGATTAACAAAGCGACAACCTTGATCCAGTGCACTTCCATAAACCGCCAGCAACAATTCGTTAGGCTGGTTGCCCAGGCAATTAACTTCGTGACGATAGTGTGAAAAGCCGAATTGACATCTTCAATAAAATCTATATGTAAAAACAAAACAGGAAGAACAAGGAAAGCTCCCTGTTGTAGTGCGCCAAAGTCAGGTCACACCCATAAAATTGTACTGGCCCAAGGAGAAAAATTTGAATGCAGAGGAACGTCATCAAAATGGAATGAACCAGTGTCGGCTAAGTTCCGCAATACATGAGAACAACAGGCAGGAAGGTCTTATTTGCAGAGAATGAATTCTGTTTGAATGATTTCGATGAAACGTGAAATTGTTGCTGTAACGTTAACACCATGAAGTACTGAAGCACAGTAAGTTTTTGGTCACGTGGCTTTGAGCTGGACACAATAGTTTCGAAAGGTGACACATCCTCTCGATCTTTACTTCACTAAACGACAGCAGTCGTTACCTAGACGAACTCACATCACCTGGGTGTATAGGCATCTATGACGTTGTGTAGGGTGAATGAGAAGAAGCAAAAGCACGCCAAATTGCGATAAAGAAGCAATATTGTGGCAAACTAGTGAACAAAACAAGAAAAAACACAAAACTGAACAAAATCCAGAAAAACAGATGAGGAAGAGTCGATTTTTTTCACAAGGGTCAAATAGACCCCAAACTCACACAAGGTCTGGCGTGGCATAGGACGACGATTGTATCTCGCAAAACCGCGAAGTAGCTCTAAGCCATTCAAGTAATAAAGAGAAATGCGTTGGAAATGGGTGCGTTGCAAAGAGTGGGTCAAAGGATATAAAAGGCCGGACAATCAACACATGTATTGGATTAGTATAAAGTATCAACTAAACTTTCAATAACAGCATTCTCAATATCAGAAAACGACCCTACGGACGGACAAAGAATTCGAAAACAAACGGTAGTCTTTACATAAAGTATTTATACATGACTGTGATCTTCCCACTAGTCTCGAAAAAAGTGCAAGTTGTATAGACCGGTGACAACTAGTGCAGTTGGAAAAAACAAGCTCGGTTATAAGTCCGTTTAGAATGAGGTTGAATAGCGTCAGAGGGGGATACTCAAGAGCGGTATGTAGTGGAAAGTGGGGCGGTGTGGAAAACCTACCGGTAAAAGCTGAAAAGCACCGGGAATCGGTATAAAGTTAAGGAAACGAAACTTTGTGTAGTTTTCTCTGGATCTAGGTCACAACGAATAACATCCAGCGTTTCGGATATTCGTCCACACCATTTACGCAAGTTTAAGTTGCACAAACAACTTTCTGGTAATATAACTAGGAAACTACTCTCAACGAGTTGTTGTAACATATACACAAAACTAGCAGGAAGGCAAGGTCGATGATAAGGTTGACTAAAAAAAAAAAGAAACAGTGGGAACTTACTGGACAAGCTGCTCGTGGTGGATGGTGAGAGCGTTGCAGCGTGGTCTGCGGACTGCTGAGGTGTAGTGGAGGCCAGGTCACGAAGTTCATACAGCCGGCTGACAGGGAAAGAGTGTTAGGATAAAAGGGTTTGATTTACGAGGCGGGTTATTCAAAGATGGACAGAAGCATTTTAAAATTTGATATGCTATAACGAACAAGGATGGGCGATCGAAAGATGTATTGAAGGTGTCAAACCATCCATAGTTACATAAAGCGAAACAAAACGAACGCCGGATGAAGATAGCACGTGGAACCACAAGCGTCCCACCAGGTGGTTCCGTAAAGTAGTAATTTGGACAGTCCACTTCAAAAGTCGAGTGAGGTCGAATTAAAATATATGTTACTGACGTAGTCCGTATGGAGAAGACGAACGTTTCAATGTGTGACATCTGTACCCCGACTTCTCCTGTCTAGGCTTGGGCAAACTGGCAGTATCCCAGCCCTAGTGCTTCCTCTGAGTGGCATGGCAGTTAGGCACTGAAAAGGTGCTACAGCCGAACGATTATTATTACATTATCATTCCACTGATCACTGCATCTGACCGTCTACCCCAACAATCTAGGAAAAACCATGGTGTCCTAGAAAAGAGAGCTTCTCGGGTGCTTATTCAGAGTAACTGTTCACGAGGGAAAATTTAAAAAATGAGGGATATGATAACGGATATTGACTTTTTACCTACGACTACGATAATTCTATTCTTTGCGAAAATTAGACCAACTATCTTACCCTGTGGAGAACATTTATAAAGAGCGCGTGATTTTTCACCCCTCAAAGAAAAAGGAACACACGAAATCGGTAGTCACGTAGAGCTGGAGGAGCTGACTGGGCCAAATCAAAGTTAACATTAAGTCCGAATAGGAAAATGTGCACTGAGGCGCTACATGGCGATAAAAACTGATATGAGAATAATCTGAAGCAGCTATGTGGTACCGGTTCCAAACATACGTCACAAACTAAGGGCTTCAATAAACTTAAGAGAGAATTTACTGGTCTTCCCATCCCATCCACTGCATTTGGCATCCATCAAGAAGGCTGCCACATAGTCAGTAGAGCACATGATGTAAACAACTTAACTCTGGAAAGGTTAGCGGCTCCAATCTGATATCACTCGAGCTACTTAGGGAATGTTCTGACATCCTCAACGAATTAGTGACTTGCACCAGAATATCTTCTTGCGAAATGCCGAAAGCTGGAGGACGACAATAATAACAACATTAATATCGGCGACAAAGAAGGGAACTAGTGTATTCCGACCCATAGCTTCTAGCCCCACCTTCAAGATACTCGAAAAACTACTGCTAGGTGGAGCGCAAACAAGTCCGTTTGGTGGAGTCATATCAATTGACTCATCGACACTCGCGCTCTACGCTGGATTTCGTTGCACATCTGATTCGCTCTTCCACGTGACGCTGCTTTCAGGTGGGACTAAACCGGTTCTGGTTAAGTTGATTCCGAACAACTACTGTCAGATGAATATCAACTCTCCAGATATCCGGCTTCATTTGCTTTTTAGCCCTCTATGTCGGTGCCTGATTCCCTTGTTCTTACGACACTGCGATTCATTGTGACGTTTTGGAGTAACCCCTTAGAATGATCTCAATCGATTCTCTTCTGCATTACCACTAACTCAAGTCGAGGCTGTTATCTATGTCACAAAACCTTATCATTATGTTTACGACCACGTGTATCTTCTGCATTGGATGCACTGCTTCACTGTTGTCACTCTCATACTAGTTGAAAAGGCTTTCAGTCGATATTCATGGGTTCCCACAAAAGGTCTATCGCGCATATGTAAATATAAAGACCAGTTGGCGGTCACTATCGTTTGGCACACTCTCCAGTCCTTTGACAAAAGTGCAATAGAACAAAAGCAATGTTACATTACAAGGCGCCGGATTTGGGACAGGAGCCGGATACGGATATATAAAGTGCTACCTGATTGGCGAGACTTTACTCCATCAAGGCTCAGGCAAGTGAGTGTGTGGCTCTCCCATCTGGCAACTGTGCAACGAAAACACATCCACTATTAAAGCCACCTTCTATTGCCCTTACTGAATTGTCAGGTAGATCGGCAACAGCGTGCTCGTGCACGCACTCTGCACACTTTGACGACTGACACCTACTGCATCTGAAGAACTCGACTAAATACTTGTAACCAGTCGACTGTGTGCCGTCGAGTAGGTATTACACTGGTCAAAATGCAGAACGCTCTCTGTAGTATCCATCAACACACAAACACGCTGTGGCTCTGATTCATCAAAAGACATCTTTTATCGAGAATTAACAATCCTCTTGTCCCCCACGGAAAGCTCAAATAGTTATAATAGCAGGAGATTTCATTGCACCGGTGGAGCGCCTCAGTTCATCAGAGACACACGTTCTTGTTCCGAGCAGATTTATATTCTCCCGGCTTCTTTTGAGTCACGGCATGAGGTTAAGCCTTTCAGTTTCGAAATGGCATGAAGCTACAGATGAGGCTTCCCTCAGCGTTACTCAGTGATGGAAGATAATCTTTGCATTGCGACTTGAAAAGGTTGTCCGAACTGTAACTGTAAACAAGAACGCGTTTCGGAGGTTTTTGTGGTCGTATCCGTGTTCAAAAAGGCACCCGAACCAAATACGTGAAGCGTAGGGCGATTATGCCTCACGCTTGTGGTAACTCCACTACCGGCTGCTCTTATATTGCGATGCCAAACTTCGGCTAGTGAGTCCGAGAGCATCAGGCAAAATTTCGGCCTGTTCGGGGGTCTATGGATCACACATTTACATCACGTCAAGTGCTTGAGCAGCGCCACGCAAGCAGCCGATCAAAAATCATCGTTTCCCATACTTCAAAAAAGCTTCGGACTCTGTGGATGCATTCTTGGCCAAAAAAGGATACGCTTAGTTTGTGAAGGTTCTTCTTACCCTTTATTCTCATAGATCCTTTCAAGTTAAAATGTACACTGAAAAGTCCACGCCCCCACGAAACTAGCAGAGTTCCTCAGAATTGATCTTTCTCTCCTTTTTTTCCAATTTTGTGATCGATGCTATATTGAGTGCAAACTTTAGGCGACGATGATAACATTTGGTGAAATTAGTGGGCCTGGGTTACGCGGGCGATTATCTGTCAGTAAAAGTCCTTTGGGCAAGATGGCGGTAGTGGGGCCGTATTTCGGTATGCTTTTTGCACTTCCAAAACGCAGTCTTTTTCGAAATTTCTCATCCTATCGTGCTACTCTGGAACTTCAGAGCGAAGGTCGGCAGCTGCTGAGGCCATGACGAGATGTGTAGATAATAAGGACGCTAACACCGTTCGCCAACGTGCCTCATTTATGGCGTCAGAAGAAATTTCATAGGAGCTGAAACGCATACAGTGAAACTGTAGAAGGGGTTCTCATTTATGGTTGTGAGACTTGGCTCCTCCGATCCGAGGACCTTTGGCGTCTTCAAACCTTTGATCACCTGTGCCTCCATAGTACCGTAAGAGTAAGCCGGTTGTAGCGAGTACGTAACGAAATTGTGGGGAGGCTGGTAATTGGCAGCGAGCCAGCGGCTTAGATTCATCAAGGAAAGATGATTGGACCATGTACTACGGGTGTACAATCACCGCCTTCTCGATAAAGTGCAGTTTTGTGCTCCAAACCCTTGTTGGTCAAAAGTTCGCGGAGGACGAACAATGACGTGGCGACGTAAAATGAAAAAGGCTACAATCAAACTGAGTGTTGTGAGACCTTTGCGCTCTACTGGTTGAGGTCCACATGATCCTATTCGCATATGCCTCTCAGGACGTTGTATGCAATTGATCCTTGTGGCGCGCATACTGTAATGCCTTGCTCAAGTGATAATGAGGACTATCACTTCCGGAAGTTGGTAGAACAGATATACTGCAGAAATTACTGCTGATACAAACCAGAAAACACGATACCGAACTTGGTGATCACCACCAGACAAGTGGTTGAAAACGCCCGCATGTCCGGGCGGCTTAACACTTCGTTACGTGACATGAACCCGGCCCACACAACAGTCAATGAAAGTCAGTGTATCAAGCATGCTGTGACCTCACAAAGTTCAGTGTCCGGTTCGTCATCCAAACGAAAAATGTCCCAAACTGAAATTCCAGCAGTCCGTGTTGGGACCATTAGCAAGAGCTAAACAATGGGCTGAAACTACAAGTCTCAGCAGAGAAAACTGCGTGATTGTTGCAAATGATGTTCGAATAGAATTCGTGTAACCCATGGTTGACAGAGGTAGCTCAGTGGCTAGGGTGCAAACTTACTGACGGGAGGTCCGTCGTTCATAACCAACCACACCATCTTGACTGCTTCTGTCTAAGTTTGGGTAACTTGGAAGTATCTCAGCCTCTCATGTCTCCTCTGGGTGGCATGGGAGTTGAGCATGGGCAAAGAAAGAGTTTTACAGCTAAAATGACTACTAATTATTTATTGTGAGAAGTTCGGACACCAGACAACGGGCATAATTGCTGTATTTTCGCAGTGGTGAGAACCAGGTCTAACTACGGGTATATCCGTTTACAGATAAACAACACTGAAAGTTGACTATCGTTCCAAATGCTAACCTGTATGGTTAACTATCAACGCACACTATGCAATAAACTCCATGGAAATACATCTAACCAGTTCAAGGGTAAGCAAAATGAACCCGCGAATATACAGAGAATAAAGCGAAGTAAGCAACCTATTTTTGGGGTGAAAAAATAGTATAGATGCTTAAACCTACTTGAAGCGATCCAAAGCAGAGCGTTTCAAAAATGGCTCGTGAAAGTAGTGAACTTGAAGTATTATGACAACCAAGAACAGCACTGGAGTCAGTAACCGAGCGAACAGCGCTGCGCTATCGAACGTTTCCAATCCAATGTCCTTCAAACTATACGACGGAACAAAGGGATGAAGTGCAAAAGTAGAGTCAGTCGGACAGAATACAAAGTAAATAGTAATAGTAATCCGATTTGAGCTATTCATTTGGGATGGGAATAATGGGAATCCATTGAAAGCCGTTCATTTGGACGTCGTTCTTGCCGCTTGTGCCACCGAATCAACACAGAAAGGCGCTTTAGAGCAGAAGCTTTCCTAGTTAAACTTTTAGAAACAGCAATCATTCATACCATGTCGTTGTAGTACGCTTGAACAAAACGAGGTACGAAACCGAAACCAGCCACATTTGGCCTCGAACGGCTTCGGGAGGTCATCTCAATCAATACTTCATGAGTTCGCCTTGGAAAGTGCGGCTTTCCTCAACGTGACGCCACACATGAATTCCAATCCGACAAGGTTGGACAAGGATGTTACCATGTCAAAGGACGACCATCAACACAACATCAGTGTTCAACAAAATAGAAAATCGTCAGTGGCGAGCCTACGTGTCCGGCGACGAAGCAAATTACGCAGAAGGCAACGGGTAAGTAAACCGTCCCAGTAATCACAACCAACCAACCAACCAAGCAAAAGCGCATGCCTAAGGCGTTTTGTACTTTTCGAATATTCGTCCTCTTCATCGTTTGTCATTTCAATGCAGACATAGTCAAACCGATTCCATTCCAAGGTAGAGAATTACATACAGACTAAATACTAACAAGCAAGCTACAATGTGAAGATATGAAACCATTCAAATCAATAAGTAGACCGAATAACAAATTCCAATACAAAGCGGTCTACCGAACTTCGCCTCAAGGTGGATTACTAGTTGTTCCGGAAATCCGACCGAACGATTAAACTCGGTCAAACATGCGTTGTCTTAACACTCGACTGTCGATTATACTGGAACACACACGTAGGTACCGACCACGCGTTCGTCCAGGATAGACCATGGTTAAAATTCTGTGGTAAACCAAAGAAAAGAGCTATTCATTTGACAGCAGGTTCGACAAATGCATCAAAGCTCTTATGGTGGTAGTTGGTAAGCGAGCACTCCAAAAAAACGGCCACAATTATATGTGGCCGGGGAATTAGTGGGTTTGATGGTGTCCGACGCAGTAGCCACTGAATTCCGAAACGGTCAACGCCACTCACTGATGCGATATGCTGCAGCCCTGTGACCTCGGTGAACGTGTAGGCTGGGCTGTCTGTTAGACATCAGTTCGAAGAAAGTCTACGTGTAAAGAGTTGTAGGAAGTGGAAGAGACTGGCGTAGACGTGAGTGCATGGAAGCCATAAAACCTGAGACCATCTGTCCGTGAATTCATCAAGGAAAATATTGGAATTCTAGCGATGAAACCAGCGTCCAGGTCGCCGAACTGCTTCTGTACCGCTCTCTTTCATTCGATCTATTCAAATCGAGCAATGTTCTGTTAGCTCAGATCCGCCCTCAATTTGCAGTGGTAAGGGGCGTTTTAGCCTTGAAACAAACCATCGAAATTATTAAAGACCGAGGAGCATCTTTATGTCCTCCTTTCCACTGCATACTCTGAATTTGTTTGCTAAGGTCGCGTTCCACAGAACTAGATGGGGAGGTACCCGAAACGGCTGTTCTAATCAAGGAGCTACAGGTCTTGGACCTGTCATAGCACAGTTATTAGCTTCAGCAATACTACAGAATCCAGTTTCGTCATCCGAGGCGCAAGGGCAGAGAGTCAGCCAGAAGTTCTTCCAGGTTAAGGCTGAAATGTTCGTACCATTCCATCACGTTACACAAAAACGTCATTTTTCTTGACTTAAAAGGGGGTCTGACTCTCTAGACCGGATAGTCCCCCCATATAAACTTGGACTTAGTGGAAAGACCTTGCAGTTTGTAAATATACCCCGCGTTCTCCATTCCGGCACTTCTGCTTACGACAGAGTTTATAATGAATCGCACAAGTCTGTTTGTAGCTGGTGACATCCATCAGAGCTTTCTCTTCTCAGCTCCGTCTATTAATGCCACTTAGGTTAGGAAGTACGAATCAAACAATCGAAATGATACTGGGTGAAAAACATGTAGTTTTGCACTGCACATTGTTCTGTTGTTCGACAACCACCAGCTGGCGCAATCTGTTCAAATAAGAACATCTGAAGCGGTTGTTGTTTCCAATGTTACTTTGTGCCTTCTGAGTACAAGGTCTTGCTTTAAAATTTTCACTTCTCTCTGAAACCTTACGGTGAGGATGTTGACCGCTTCACATATCTCGGTATTCGCACAGGCCACGACTATATCAAGAGAGATGAAGATGAACCATACGTTTTCGAAACGAATGTAAGACACTAATGGTATAAGAAAAAAATTCTACAAAAGCTGAACGGTGGTTTCGCAAGAAAGCAGTTCATGGTTCAAAATGAAGACACTGAACGCTTCTAAACAGTATATCACTAGTGCCTTCGCAACACAATAGGAGTCGGTTTATTGTAGAGGAGGAAATCCTGTGCAGAAGCGACCACTTGGCAACGAATCACAACTGCTAAAGCAACTGCAACCTAAAGCTGCCACCTTGACGTGGTCGTCGGGCTTCTGTGTTGCAATGATCCCGCGGGCTACACTGACTGGAACTTCGTTCCACAAGGTGCAACCATGCCAGGAAGGCCAAAGGGGAGCAGCCAGACCAAGAGCAGCGAGACCCCGTACAACCAGTAATCGTGCTACGAGGCGGTCTGGGGGTAAAGTCGTAATGTCCCCTGCGACAGGAGTGTGAAGGCAGTAAGGTGTTTCCTCCAGGCGACCAGCATGCCCATATTTATGGAAGCAGCGATGCTACCTTCCCCCGAGGAAGGACGGGTTAGAAAAGGTCGGCCCCAAAAACCGCACACTCCGATCGCCCAACGGTTGACCGTGACCGCCGGCGCATTATCCAATACGGTCGAAATACTTTTAAAACCAAAGAGCCCGGTGCTGCTCAAAAGGCACCTGCTGTGC